TGTGATAATCCTTTTAATCTCGTTGGGGCCCATTGTGATTTCTCCTGTTTCATCTCTCATCCTGGCTATTGATGTATGCGTCTTCCTTTCCTTGGTTAGGCTTGCCAGTGGTCTATAAATTCTGTTGATCCTTTCAAAAACAATTTTTTGCTTACAGATTTTTTGCACTGTTCTCTTATCTTGTTTAACTCTGCTCTGATTTTTATTATTTCTTTTCTTTTGACATTGGAGGGGTTGTTCTGTTGACTCTGTTCTAGTTGCTGGAGGTTTTGTGATAGCATGTCAGTCATAAGTCTCTCTTGCTTTTTCATATATGCACTTATTGGTATCAAGCTAGGTTTTGATACATTGTATTTCCGTTCTCATTAGTTTCTAGAAACTTCCTAGATTTCTCTCTAATCTGAGCCAGTATTCATATGTGTTGCAGATCATTATTTATTCTTCAATTTTTTCCCTTGTTTTTCTGGTTGTCCTTTTATTAATCTCCAGTTTTATAGCATGGTGATCTGAGAAGGATGTCTGAGTAATCTGTGTGCTTTAATTTACTGAGGCTTGACCTGTGCACCAGGATATGATCTATTTTTGAAAATGAGCCATGAGCACTTGGATAATTTAACTGTTATATGCCTTGGTGAGTTCTTCCTGGAGGTTAGTCTAATCGGTGTCCTCTGTGCTTCCTGCATGAGTGTCTGCTTCTCATTCATTAAAGTGGAGAAGTTTTCTTCTAAAACTTCCCTCCCTAATTTAACTGTTGACTGCTTTGTTGTGTCTTATTCTGGTAGGCCAGTTATTCAAATATTGGTCCTCTTCATAGGATCTGTCATTGATCTCAGGTTTTCTTCCACACTTTGATTATCTTGTTTGACTGTCTTTCCCTTTTGTTGATGTCTGCCTGATTGTCCTCGAGATCGCTGGTTCAATTCTCTGCCTCCTCTAGTCTGTTCATGAGATCCGTGATCTTGCATTTAGCTCCTGTTACCTCATCCATTAGCCCCTGTATTTCCCTTTGGTGAGTGGACTTCATCTCCTCTATCATTGTGTCCTTATTTTGAGTTGCTTCCCTCATCTCCTGCATTACTCCAAGCAGCCTTTTGAAGATTTCTTTTTGTGGCAGATCCATGCCTGATTCTTCTATGAGCATTGGTAGGCTCCACTGTTGTGTTTCGACTTTCTTGTTTTCTTTTTGTGAGTGTTGCGGTATGTTGCTGTGTGTCATTTTGGAAGAACTGGGAGCCATGCTTCTGGGAGATCAAGGGGCCCTGAACTCTTTCTCTGTGTGACTAGTCAGTCTTTTGAGGGGTGCTTATGGCCCACTATGGTGGTGGGACAGACTCCTATGTAGTTAGTGTGCTGTGGCGATTAAGTGGCCTATGATGGTGGGGGGGGGGGCCCTCAGAGACTGGGGTGAGGCTGGTGACTGTTAGCTATGCCCCTGGGCCAAGTTTGGGCAAGCATGCAGCTTGGCTGTGGGTCTGGTCTGGGATATCAGACCACGATTCTCAACCTTTTTTTTTTTAAGGCACCAAATAGAAGACAAAGATGGGGGAAGCCTCACTGCTATGGGATAGGGTGCTGAGTGAAGACAAGGACAGCCCCACTGCCATTTATGCAGGTGCCAGGGGAAAGACTCCCTCCCTGCTGCAGGTGGAGTTACTTGGAAGATGAGGGGGGGTGAGGGGGATGGGGGAGAGGGAGACGAAAACTGAAGGTGGTGGTGGTGGGTGTCGGGTGACATTTGGGAGGGCCCCATTGCCACAGGGTGTAGGTGCCAGGCACTGGTGGGGGCAGCTGCTACTGCTGAAAGCAGGGGGCACCATGCAGGCTTGGGACAGGTTGCTGCTGCTGCAAGTGGCAGGAGGAGAGGAGCTGCTGCAAGGATGTGGGGTGGGGTATCAGGCAATGGTGGGGAAAGCTGCTGCAGCCACAGGTGATTTGACTTACTGCAGGTGGACTGCAGACAGGGTTTAGTCACGGTCGGTCGCTGGATCCCTGGGTGGGTGGTAGGAGGGACCTGAACTTGGCAGCAGACCTGCACCACATGGGGAGAAGGTGCCTCAGGAGGAGGGAGCAGATCACAGTGGAGGGTGCCAGGGTGGACTATCATCATGTGAGGGTTCCAGCCATGGTTCTGGGGGACTCAATATGACTGATGGCTAGCTCCGGGTGTGGATATAAGGTTTGGGGTGGTGGGGAGGCAATTGGTGGGTGGTGGCCACAGTAGGATCCAAAGTAGTGTAGCTGGTGTGGCCCTGGGAGTCCCAGGGACCAAGTCGCTGATCACCGGGGTTCCAGAGCAAGGCTAGATGTGGTGGAAGGTAGTCTTTCAGACCAAGGATGTACCCTGGGCTGTTGTGGGAGTCTTTTCATTTACCCAAATCCCCACACTCATCCTCCTGGACAACAAGTACACTGATCATCATGGAGCTCCCAATGTGGGCTGATTACCCGGGTGCAATTTGCTGGAACTCCTCTGGGAGTTTCTTATAAAGCTACCTGTATGCAAATGTTCACACCTACTATTGTGTACCTATACCAATAAAAAGAGCCTTTAAATTGGTTTAGGGTGAGGGGAAAATACTTTAAGCAGTTAGGAGAGTCCTATTCTGTGGAAGTCCTTAACTACTGACATGTTAAAAAAGCATAATTTCATTAGGCTTTAATAAAATTTGTAGGAGACAATGGATCAGTTCTCTGTACTTTGAGGTCACTGTAATCTCAAATTTATTTGATGATGTAAGAAGAGTGTTTCAGACTAAAGTGAGGAATACAAAAACAACTGAAAGGAAAGAAAATGAAACAATAGAACAAACAGGAATGCCCAATGGACACCTTGCTTTGGTGTCCGGGGCCATTCGGCTCAGTCTTCACTATATTTTGTCAGACCTTGCAGTACTTTTCCATTCCCACCTACGTGACATAGTTTTGTGATTATGTTATCTCCCCTCTGAATAGCCTGTCCTTGGGACGGGCTGAGTTTAATCTTCAAGTCTGCCTAGAAACAGATGAGGGGGTTTCCATACATGGTGTGAGATTTTTTAGATAAAGCACCTATATCCTGCTTCTCCTTGATTGGGTAGGAGATTGTCTTCACCCTATTTACATATCTAGTGCCTGCACCTGATTTGCATAAAATGACGTCACTTTGCGTACCTGGTTGAAGACTGTAAACCGTTACTGAGGGCGCAATCCCCCGGGCTCCTTGATTGGTCTATTACCAAAGTAGCCTAATTTACATGTGCGATGGGTGTTTCCCTTCCCCTGGCCTATATAGGCTGCAACCTTTTGCTCAATAAAGAGAGACTTGATCAGAATACTGTCTTGTCTCCGTCTCTCGCGTCTCTTGTTCCCCTCAATTCCCACTCCCTCCTCCAGGGTCTGCGTTGACGTTCCTGTGGGTTGGCACACTTTGGAATGCACATAAATATGGATCCCTTCCAGTCAGTGGGCCAAGTAACTGTCTTCCAAATTTCCTGGCACACATGCGTGAGTGCTTCCAGTGCATCATCGGCTCATTAGAACATTTCAATGGTATTCCAGGTCGATCTTAAATGTCAATATCTCCTTTTGTGGTCCAGGAGGCTCCTGAATTTCACACGAATCTCTTGGGTTTGTGAGTTGGATAATCTAGGCTCCTGTCCTGGTCAATGGCCTGTGTCCAGGGCTCCAGAAGCTGCTGAAATATATTTTGGAATGTCAGCTCGTCCAGATCTAAATATCTGGAAGTAATTTCGGATGAAGCAATTTCTTCCTTGATGCCACTAACACCCTATACAGGAGCAAACTAAGAAATGTGCACATGGGACCACATAGCTGGGATTATCACAGATAAGCCAACCACAACCAACCCAGATATATGTACCTTCAATATGTGTTTATTGAAGAAGATGATGTGGCGTGTTCCTCAGTAAAAGGCAAGGGATGTAAACACTTCATTCTTCACAGTGAGGTAGGAATTCTTGTTTAGTAAACTTTCTCCCAGATGATTCTGACTGAACAAAGACATATTAGAAAACGTATATATTTACACTTACTGTTTCCCTTGCCGTAAAATGCATGGTAGTGTTAGGTAGCCAGACTAGAGACTAAGTGGGGGACTGTCTCCCCAGATGCCTGCAGAGGGCCACAATGAAGGGGCTCCAGGGAAATCAGGCACCCATTAGACCCCTATGGAAAGACCCAAACTGAGCATGCTCAGACACAAGCCCCCTAGGCCCAGGTGGGAGGTCCACCTGAGCACCTAGACGAGGCCCGGCCACATGACATCACAGAGGTGGGCCTGGAGTCAGCTAGAAGGATCAGCCAATGCCCTCAACCACACCTGAGGAGATCAAAGCAGCCACCGGCAGGCCGGTGGCCTCTTTTACGATTCTCTTGTTCAGCTGCCCGCTGTAAGCGGAGGCACGTGCGCATCTGCACACTCTCTTGGCCAATGTAGTGACCTAGTTTTGCAAGCGTGGTTTCGGGCCCCTATTCCTATATTCTTTCCACGTGGTTTTTCATACTCAGCTGTGAAACCCTGTGCAGCTCCCACGTGGTCTTGCACGCTTTCCAGAAACAGCATGACCTTTTTGAGACTGTAATACCTGAAAATTCCCTTTTCCCCATAAAAGTCACTCGATGAAAAAACGTGCTTCCGCCACGTGAATTCTTTCAGCGCCAAGCAAGAACCGAGGTACTCCCATCCAGGAACCCAACATGTGGATACTTATAATTTTTTTTAAGTTCATTGAAGAATTTCTTCGGAGTGCTCGTTCTTGTTCAGTAATCTCCGTAGATGTCTTATTCCATGGGATGTTTCTATTTGTTCCATTGCTTTACTTAATTTTATTTTAAGTTATATCTTTATATGCCTCACTTTATTCTGAAAACAATATTCTCTTCTTACATATTCAGATGAATTTGAGATTACAGTGATCTCAAACTACACAGCCATGATCTATTCTCTCCTACAAATTTTATTAACCACTAATGAAAAAAAATACTATCCTTGGCCAAGAAGGATGGCCTCAGAGTCCCTGATCAAGCAGATTCCTCGAATTCTGGACCTGCACCTGAATAAGGCCAGCAAATTCCCTTCCCTGCTGACCCACAATGAGAACATGGTAGCCAAGATCGACGAGGTGAAGTCCACCATCAAGTTCCAGATGAAGAAGGTGCTGTGTCTGGCAGTGGCAGCAGACCATGTGAAGATGACAGATGATGATGAACTTGTTTACGACATCCACTCAGGTGCCAACTTTTTGTTTTCACAGCTGAAGAAGAATTGGCAGGATGTCCGTGCTTTGTACATGAAGAGCACCATGGGCAAACCCCAGCGCCTGTACTAAGCCACGGTTCAATAAACTTTTTTTTTTAATTATTTGAAAATTATCCCTTCTTTTTTTTTTTAGGTTCAATAAACTTTATTGTTCCTGTTTTTTAAAAAAAATATCTCATCGACATCAGTATTTAAGGACTTTCATAGAATAGGACTTTTCTAACTTTTTAAAGTATTCCCCCCTCACTCCTACCCAACTTAACAATTTGACATTTGGCTTACATATGCATTTTTAAAAACCTGATGCTGATATAACACACAGCACCGCTGGGAAGGTGCTTGTCATGGTTGCCCTTGAGCAGTGAACGCATGCAGCTGTAGCATGCAGCTGTAGAGTCCCTTCTACAAAAACGCCTTGCACAATCACATTTCCCTTAGTGGGTAAACGGGAGAAACAACCTCCCTTCAAGAAAACTGAATAAAACCTATAAACGAGGGCAGATGCTGCCCAGTTCTTTGTTCCTAACTGGGCATTTTAGACCTGCTTGGATGGAACCCTTGACTACCCAGGCCATGTGCTATAGACGACTGGTACCTTAGACTCTGCTCTTTCGAGGCACACAACATCCTCCATAGGCCACACCAGAAGGACTTGATGTGGAAACGCCACTAAGTGAACTGGGCTTTATCTCAAACTCTCCCATAGCCCTTGGTGTTAAGGCTGAAACTCTACTGCAGGGGTGTCAAACTGGAAGCCTGCGGCTCACATACAGCCCTGGAGGTAATTTTTTTGTGGCCCATGATGCTCTGAAATAAAATGTAACGAGGGAATTGCGTGTACAGTATTGCCTCCATCTCCCCTAAGTGCTATTTTCCTCATAACATTTTTTTCTATTTTCATTTTATTTCAAAGCATCGTGGGCCACAAAAAAAATTACCTTGGGGGACACATGTAGCCCACAGGCCACCGGTCTGATACCCCTGCTCTAGTGTTTCAGAACCAGATGACCACTATCTCAAGGTTTAGCACTAGAGATCATTGGACTTGGGTGTGGAACTCTTGCACTGGGGGGGGCGGGGGGGCGGGGAACATGACAATGAATGGTGGCCCAGAACTACCATATGTGGGGGACCAGCCTCCTCACAACCAAATGGGTCTGGTAAGGGGGATTGTTACGTAATTGAGGGGTAAATTAAAGAGACATGAGACAAGGCATGCATGCAAGAGCTCATCTCTTCCATGGCGACTGGAACCAGACTGTGGCAGTAATGTATTCTCTCACGAGTTTATATGATCTCGGTCATGCAAACCATGATATGTGCATACATAACAGGAAGGGGTTGTATTAGAGGGATACACGTCACATGAGGCAGGCAAGCTAGGGGTGTACACACAATAGGAAGGGGAGGTACTAGAGGCATACATGTGACAAGACACATAGGTAACCAGATGGGTGGGCTTTAGAGTTAAGATGGCAGCCTAACCTTAGTCTCTGAGCTGGCTTGGCCTTGAGCTCTTCTCCAGGGGAACAACCTATGATCATTATCAGAAGGGAGTGGGGCCTACTTAGGTGGGACAGACAATCGGCTCTGGTGGCTGTTGATGGCAGACAACTTTCAGACAAGTAGCCTTCAAGCAGTTGACCTTCAAGCACAGTAAATGGTAGTAGCCATGTTTTTGCAAGCATCATCCCATGGAGACAGCATGGGGCATAACTTTTACTTAGGAGAATGTGACTGAAAGGCATCTCCAACCTACAAACGTGAAGGTGTCCCTCCATGGGAGGACCGGCCTCCCAGACTCTTTAATGTATGAGCCTAGAGAATTTGTCTGCATACACTCTTCTCAGTTCTCAGTTTTCCACACCATGTATGTATTATTTTAATGCCCTCCTTGCCTTATCATGACATATATTAATCTGAAAGGCTTAGTTCTACCTTTGCAAATGAATGTTATTGAAAGTTTGGGGCTATTGTCAACCCCCATCTTTTATGTACATAGTGTCCAGTTGCTCAAAATTTTAATCTGTACAATTCAAAAACTCATGTATTGTGGTTTGTACTCAGCCTATACTTGTGTAGTTTCCTTTCCACAGCAGTGTTTTAAAGTCTATATAATCTGATAGAAGAATGTCACAATCAACCGAATTACCTTATGCCCCAGGAATATGATTCATAATGCTCACTAAAATAAAACGATAAGATGTCTCTAATGCGAAACAGAGACACATGTAAACCATAGATATATGAATGGATTTGGGACTCACACTTAATTCTAGACACAATCTAAAAACAATTCGTTCTTATGACATGGCCCTGCTTGATTTTCAGCCTCGTGAAGAGACCACTGAAAATACGGATGCCATAGCCAAATATGGAAATTAGCAAGAATAGCATCTAGGGTCTTAAAGGCTTGTCTCCAAACCAGCAGTTTTCTAAGTGAGGTGCCAGCTAAGCCCACACTGAAGAAGCACACCAACCTGTGTGATCCAAGGATTATAAATAATAGAATTCACATCTGAACTAAGGAATGGTATGAGCTTAAATTGTGAACACCCTATTTACAGAATGCTATGGATGACAGTGGAAACCCAAAATCCATTTGCAGGCTCCACACATGAATTAAGCCGCCACTAAACCACTCTGGCCATAGGCCAGGAGTGTGACTAGCCTTTCTATCATGCAGAGTGCTGTGGCTTTTGTTTTGTTTTTGTATGTTTTTCTGGATATGCAAGCCAGGACTGGTAAGCTAAAGCACCAGTGGCTGCATTAATGATTCTTTGAGGGGCATGGAAGGGGAAGTTGGGGGTGGTGGAATGGGGAGTTGTTAATAATGTGTACAAGAAAGAATATGTTCTAAAATTGATTGTGGAGATGATCATACAACTCTTTTTAATATGGTTAAACTGCTGAATGATATGTGAATTATATGCCAATAAAACGTTTAAAATGTTGAAAAGCCAAACAACAAGCAATGCCTTTTCTACTGCACCTAAGACAGTGCTGGTCAAACTCCCCACCATTGAGTCAATTCCAACTCATAATAACCCCAGAGGACAGAGTCGAACTGCTCCACTGAAATTCTGAGATGGTAATTCTTTATGGGAGTCGAAGGTTTCTTCTTCATCTGAGACAACTGAGTTTGACAAATCTGCCACATCCAGACCTTAGCACGGTTCTTCAAGCTTGAGGAACGTGCTCTGTCCGAAAGTCATTTCCATCATCTCTAGTAAAGGAAAAAGATAAAGGAGGAGATATACTCTGAAGTGTTCTCTAACCTGCTCTGTGTCCCGGGCTCCATGGGGCTCCACGTGTGTTTACTTTTTGTATGTTTTCTTTTAAAAAAAATCATTTTATTAGGGGCGTATACAACTCTAATCACAATCCATACATCCATCAATTGTATAAAGCACATTTGTACATTCATTGCCCTCATCATTCTCAAAATATTTGCTCTCCACTTAAGCCCCTTGCATCAGCTCCTCATTTTCCCCCTCCCTCCCCGCTGGCCCCTTCCTTAATAACCCTTGATAATTTATAAATTATTATTTTTTCATATCTTACACTGTCCGACGTCTCCCTTCACCCACTTTTCTGTTGTCCATGCCCGTAAACAATGAACTGAGTCCTATCCACAATGTTCAAACATTTTCAAATTCAGATACCATGAAATCCATATTCTAACCTCCAGGTTCATGAATTTGGACAATTCAGGAACAAAATCAATAACAACTCATGCAGCCCAATCCTCTCCCCACTCCCAGTTACTGGAAAGCATGGATCTGTTTACTGTTTCAATCAATTTGCCTTTCCACAGTGATTTGTAAGTGGACTCAGACAACGTTACACTTTCTAAATCTTGTCTTCCCTTACAAAACCTACTGTGTACTTATTGTGTAACATGTATTAGAAGTTCTTAATTTTTTTAAATAGTTTTAATGGCCTATGATGCACACACCATGAAATTCAATAGTTCAGTCCCATTAAGAAGAGTTGTGCAGTCCCCTCCACAATCAATTTCAGAACATTTTTTTCTTTCTTGTACTTATTGTTATTAGCTCCCCAATTGCCCCCAACCTCCATGCCATCCCACAAGAAATCTTTCATTCAGTCACTGTCTCTGTAAGTTTACCTATCCTGGATTTCATGTACTGAAAAACATACAAAAAAACGCAAAAACAAAAACCTAACAATAGCAAAGTAAACATTAAAAAAAAGGCAGAAAATCATATTTTTTAAAGATAATCTTACTTGGGGCTCTTATAGCTCTTTTTTTCATATAAATCCTTTTTTTAAATTAATAAATCATTTTTGGGGGGCTTTTACAGCTCTTGTAACAATCCATACATCAATAGCATCAAGCACATTTGTACATATGCTGCCATCATTATTTTCTAAACATTTACTTTCTATTTGAGCCTTTGGTAGTTCCTTTATCCCTCCTTCCCCCTCCCACACTCGTGACCCCTTGATAAATTATAAATGATTGTTATTTTCATATTTTACACCAAACACTGTCTCCGTTCCTCCGAGGTTTCTATTGTTCATCCCCCTGGTGTGTGTGTGGTGGTGGGCGAGGGGGAAGGAGGTGAGGTTATGTGTCAATCATTGTGATCAGTTTTGCCTTCCTCCCTTTCTCTCCCCACCTTCTCCCTACCCTCCTGGTACCAGTACTCCCATTTCTGTTCCTGAGGGGTTTATCTGACCTGGATCCCCTGTGTCATGGGCTCTTATCTGGACCAATGTGCATTTTCTGGTCTAGCCCGAAGTGAGAGGCAGGACTGGGGTCATGATATTGGGAGTGAGGAAGCCTCAAGGAACCACAGGAATATGATGTGTTTCATCGGTGCTTTACTGAACCCTGGTTGACACATCCCTTCCTTGTGACCTTTCTGTGAGGGGATGACCCATTGTCTACAGATGGGTTTGGGATCTCTGCTCTGACCCTCCTTGTTCTCAACAATGTTTGTTTGTTTGCTTGCTTGTTTGCTTGGTTAGGGTTTTCTGATGCATGTTACCTGATCCCGATGACACATGATCACACAGGCTGGTGTGCTTCTTCCATGTGAG